TTTAGAATTAATTGAGGAAGAAAAGAAGAGGCACACCAATAAGGGATTTGCTGTTGGATACAGGTTAAACCGTCGGGTCTGAGGCCATCCTGTAATGAACGGTTAGTTGGTTCGAGGATGTTGGGAATTTTTGCCTTATTAAATGCATTATGGATAATTTTGTTGATAGCTTTATGACGGAGATGGTGACCTTGACTACGGGTGCAGTTAAGGCTGTGTTGGGCGTTAGGATTGTACGGGTAAGTTACATTGGTGGCATGTGTGTGGTTGTGTAAGTGAGCAATCAAGTCGAAATCCTATAGTAATTCTCAGTTGTTCGTTGGTTAAGAGAGTATCTAAGGTTTGGCTTGGAAGTGCTTCGAGCCATTCGTGTCCTCCATATTTATCATTGGATTGTAATAATTGTATGTTGTTAATATCAATATGGTTATGATAGGTACTTTTTTAGGGGTTCAATAATAAATTTGTTGGATATTTCGGTTGGAAATGTAAAACCGTCTGCTGTAAGTCGATTCCAAAGTTCGATTGCTGCGGTTAAAAGATCATCATTGGGTGTTATAAATGATGAGATCGCTGAATTGAGGGATGGGCGATTTGAGATTAAAGATAGGGACAATAGTTCTAAAGTAATCATGTCGATACCACCTAGTTTAGCAGGTAATTGGGCAAGGTGCCAATTAAAATCCGATAATGAGAGGTTGAGGATTCTTTCTATAAAGGTTTTTAAGCGAATATCATGTTGATTAAAAAAGTTGAGGCGGTAAATGAGGAGGATGAGTAGAAAAGATCGAGATTTTAGATAAATAAAAACATTTTTATAATCAATAAAAAAGTTGGTGTGATGGAATGTGGTTATAAACTTTTCAAGGTTTTGCATTTCAGAAAATGTTTTATCGATAATTTTTTCCGATATATTATTATTTAATAATGGGAAGCTCAAGTTGAATATCTTCTTTTCAATAATGTGTAATCTTTAAAAAAAATCAGAGGGTATCTCCGGGTTGAGGAAACATATTTCTGTTTTGGTTTTGTTTAATTGTAAACCGATTTTAATGCATCTGTTTCGAGATGGCTAAGGGCTTTGCTTATCTGATGTGAATTACCGCATAGTGTGCTATCATCTAGGTACCATAGGTTAAGGTCGAGGTCGAAATCTAATTTAAGATCTTTCATCATGTTTTGAATAGCTAAGCTGAAGGGAATAGGGCCGAGGGGGTCGCCCTGTTGTACTCCCTCTTCGGAAAAAATAATGTTACCATTAAAAATAAGGGGAGTGCTATTCTTATAGCAAATGTCTACGAAGCGCCAATATTGGTCGTAAAAAAATTCGAGTGCCGAGGAACGCGAAATTGTATTGAAGGCATTCTTGAAATTTGTAACCACTTAAATGAAAATATATTATCGACAATATGGAAAATATTTTATTTTTTAACCAATCTCGAAACATGATGTTATCCACTTCCTAACTATAGGTAAGCACGGGGCGTAAAAATCCCCTTACCCCATCACATGGTGAGTCCCACGATCTTGAATAAATTTGATTGTTGATTAGGCAAAAGAAAATTACAAGGCATGGTTGAGTGTGATTAAAAATTTTGCTTGAATCACGGAAAACTTTTAAAAATTAATATATTTTAAAAACCAATCTCGTTACTTCTTAAACATTTTGCAAGATTTTTTTCCTAAGATACTAGAAATTACTTTAACAGACTATCGAAAGCAGGATTTATTTTGTTCAAGAATTTTCATAAGTTTAACAAAAAAATGAATAAATTATTAAACCATGTCCTGGTTCGTCTTATTTCTAAACAGTAGTCTGTTTACCCGGGTATATAGCGTCCTCTAAACAGCCTAAAAAGAAAAGGTTTAAATTGACGGAAAGGGTAAAGCGTCTTTGTGAGAAAAATATATAAATAAATAACAAATAATATTTATTTAGAGTAAAAACTTATATAACAAACCAAAATAATGTGTGCCCATTCAAAATCTGCTTAGCCTTGGCTAAACATAAATAAGTTTCAAAAATAAGACGAAGCATGGCATGGCCTTAAAATTTTTCAAAATTTCTATTTGAAGAAAAACTCATTCTTTTTATAATAGTTTTCAAAATTTGTCAATATTGAATCTTTTGTTCCATTTTTTCGAAAAATTAGCCATTAAAATTTTATCAGCCCCCGCCAGTTCGGTTTCAATTGAACGATTATTTTCAATAGACAATCATAGTTAAATAGGAAAAAGGCAAGCGCAACTAAAATAAAAATAAATAATGGCATTCATTTTTCAATATAAATAAAGATTTTGATTTATAAAATATGACTTGATTAGTTAATTCTTAATTCCTGCATATAGACCATTTTATTTTATGTAAAATTATGAAAATAAATAAGGCCCAATAATATTTTTAAGTGATACATAAATTTTTAGACATGACAAAAATTTTGCCTTTTCTTGAATAGGCTGGTCGGGCTAAATTGTTTTAACATAAAACGTAAATGGGCGTGAAATTTTTCTCACTACCAGCTGTCATTGCAAAAACTTTGATTTTATTGTATAAAATATCAACTTTAAATAACATTGCCCCATTATTTCACGTAGAGCATTTTAAAATATTATTCAATTTGGACATTGGGTGGAGGGGTATATTTAGTGTTTTTTTATCCGGGTTACTTTTGTATGGGTCTTTTCTGACCGATTATCATTCCAAAGATAAAAATAAAATTTTTGTGATAAAGGGTTGTCTGAGTTTCACTATCAAAATTCTTTTAGAGATACATCTCTGTAGAAATAAAAATCTTAATATTTTCCAATACAACCGTGCTTGTATATTATAATACCCCCTTTCCATCGTCCGCGCTTAATGAGCGGGTGTACACTATAGCAAATGCAGTTCTGAGGGATAAATGATCTTTAAAGCTTGAAAAACAACAATCACCATTAAAATTGAAAAAAAAATTATAAATATATTAATAGAATTATAGTAATAATAAATTCTGTGCAATTTATTTGAATTTTATAGTGCTGTAAACATTAATTTAAAAAAGAAGCACGTTACGTTTGAAAAAAGGAGCACGTTACCTTGTTATTCGAAAGTAACGCGTTACTCTTTACTTAAAAAATACTAAATATTACAGCTCCGTGAAGTTGGCCGAACATTTGGAAGCACTAACGATGAATCATATGTCATTTTTTAGTGCTTCGTTAGTGCTTGTTAGTGCTTCAATCCGTATAGTAGCCGAATTTAAGGAAAAAAGTTATAAGCAAAAATAAAAATTTGTGCCAACTTCACGCTTAAAAGTCGATTGGAAGCACTAACGATGAAACTTATATCATTCTTTAGTGCTTCGTTAGTAGAGGTTAGTGCTTCAATTCATTTTGTAGCCGAATTTAAGAGTAAAAAGTTATTCACGAAAAAAACAAAAATAAACAAATAATGGCGACGTGCCAAAACAAAAACTAGAGTAGTAATTAACATCCGGTTTCAGCCATTATTTAGTGCTTAATTAGTGTATTTAAATTCCGTTATTAATTTACTTAACCGCCATAAAAAAAGTTATTAGCTAAATAAAAATTATGACTTCACGATTTAAGCATGAAGTTGGCCGAACTTTTGGAAGCACTAACGATGAAACTAATATCATTCTTTAGTGCTTCGTTAGTAGAGGTTAGTGCTTCAATCAGTTCCGTAGCCGAATTTAAGAATAAAAAGTTATTCACGAAAAAAACAAAAATAAACAAATAATGGCGACGTGCCAAAACAAAAACTAGAGTAGTACTTAACATCCGGTTTTCGCCAGTATTTAGTGCTTAATTAATGTATTTAAATTCCGTTATTAATTTACTTAACCGCCATATGGAAAAAAAGTTATTAGCTAAATAAAATTTATGACGTCACGATTTAAGCGTGAAGTTGGCCGAACTTTTGGAAGCATTAACGATGAAACTTATATCATTCTTTAGTGCTTCGTTAGTAGAGGTTAGTGCTTCAATCAGTTACGTAGCCGAATTTAAGAATAAAAAGTTATTCACGAAAAAAACAAAAATAAACAAATAATGGCGACGTGCCAAAACAAAAACTATAATAGTACTAAACATCCGGTTTTCGCCATTATTTAGTGCTTAATTAGTATTTTTAAATTCTGTAATTTATTTTGTTAACCGTCATATGAAAATATTGTAACACGCAAAAGAAATTTTTAGAGGTCAAATTTCGGCTAGAAAATTATGAAAGCACTAACGATGAAACATATATCATTCTTTAGTGCTTCGTTAGTAGAGGTTAGTGCTTCAATCAGTTTTGTAGCCGAATTTAAAAATCAAAAGTTATTTGCGAAAAAAAGAAATAATGGCGACGTGCCAAAACAAAAACTATAATAGTACTAAACATCCGGTTTTCGCCATTATTTAGTGCTTAATTAGTATATTTATATTCCGTAATTTATTTTGTTAACCTTTATGGAAAAATTGTAAACGCTAAAATAATTTTTAGAGGTCAAATTTCGGCTAGAAAATTATGAAAGCACTAACGATGAAACTTATATCATTCTTTAATGCTTCGTTAGTAGAGGTTAGTGCTTCAATCAGTTTTGTAGCCGAATTTAAGAATAAAAAGTTATTATCAAAATAAACAAAATACAAATTGTTCCTTTTACAAATTTTTATTTTATTCGAAAAAATTTTAATATTTTTATCAAAAATTTCAGTTATATTTAGATCTCATTATTCATAATATAATTATGCAGGAATTCAGTTACCCTGATTCAATATAGCAGTGCCATATCAATACTTCAAATATTCTGACACATCTCTAGAATCTTAAGAAAAGAATATATCAAATTGATTATGTTTCTATAGATAGATATCAACATGTATACAAACTCTTCTCTAAAAATAATCAAAAAAACTAAAAAAGTTATTAATAAAAATGCAAGTCCAACTACACTTAGTGGTCGAAAATATAATCCTCAAGCGTTATATCTTTTTATTGGAAAACTGTTACTCGATAATATAAATAGATTGTGGAATAAGAGTAGTATATTTTTATTCGAATATTATAGCTACAATATTGATGGAAGAATAAAGAAGGAAAAAATTATAAAAAATGTATGTTATAATTTTCAACGAATAAGCGAAAATAAGCATATAATCAATAAAACATTCTATAACAAATATAAACAAATACGAATATAATTGGAATATAGTTTAAAACACCTTTATGGCATAATTATAAATATTATTTAATTTTTTAATGCAATATAATTTTATTTGAATTGTATAGGATAATCAATTCACAATTTCTGTTGTCACAAATTCCATAATTTATTTAGGAGTCGTTTAAAATCATTTGATTTGATAAGCTCCTGCCAAGATAAAAACATTCTTCAACCCTAAAATCATATATTATTCATTTGATATTTTAAAATATACCTTATTGTATAGGATTAGGAAACTTCAGCAAATACCCTATAATATATAAGATCGGTAAAAATATCCTATATTTTCTAATTTAATAATTCCAGTACAACATTGAACTTTTACGACAAATTAAATTCTTTCAAAACTCTAGCAGAATATGGATTTAATTTAAATATATTTTTGCATAGGAAGTGTCAAGGGCTTAATTGTAAAAGCTATGTAATGAAATGTTGAAGAATATTAATGGTTATACTTTATTTTTATTTGTATTATGATAACTAATTATAACAGTACTACCGTCAAGAAAGACGGGCGCATTGAATTTTCGCCTAAAATTTTTTACCTTTTTATTTATAATTTAAAGCCAAAATAAGTTATTATTGTAAGATGAGTGTTTTTAATACCTACCTTATTTACCCCATTAACTAATCACATTCACTCCCCACCCCGTGATGGTGGGAGTTAGAATTTAAGAGAGAGATGGGAAAATAAGATTGACTAAAAAAAGGAAGAAATAAAAAAAAGAGACAAAGGTATGAAAACAGAACTTTAAAAAAAAAATTAATATTTTATACTTTACGAATTGATGGTTATATTTTCAAGCAACTCACATTGTTTATAATTGTCAAATCACTTAGAAGCGCAATAAAACATTGGCACATTGCAGATTCACACATCAAATTTTTAATTAGATGGAGTATTCATAGCGAATCAATGTAAATATACATTTCTGATACATTCATCAAATATTATTAAATTTTCAGTGATCATATCGTATCAAAAATAAGATACATTTCCGATTCACTCATCAAATTTTTAATTAAATTGATGAATCATAGCGAATCAATGTAAAAATACATTTCCGATACATTCATCAAATTTTTTTAAAAATTCAGTAATCATATTGTATCAAATATAAGATACATTTCCGACACATTCATCAAATTTTATTAAATTTTCAGTGATATATCGTATCAAAAATAAGATACATTTCCGATTCACTCATCAAATTTTTAATTAAATTGATGAATCATAGCGAATCAATGTAAAAATACATTTCCGATACATTCATCAAATTTTATCAAATTTTCAGTAATTATATCGTATCAAATATAAGATACATTTCCGACACATTTATCAAATTTTATTAAATTTTCATTGATCATATCTAATCAAAAATAAGATACATTTCCGATTCACTCATCAAATTTTTAATTAAATTGATGAATCATAGCGAATCAATGTAAAAATACATTTCCGATACATTCATCAATTTATATTAAATTGATGAACCATAGCTAATCAATATAAAAATACATGTCTGATTCACTCAAAAAGAAAAAAATTATTTTATGCTATGAACTAAATATTTTTAAAATGCCTCAAAACCTTAAAACTTTCGCAAGTTTAATGAAACATGTCCAAAATTTTCCATTAAAATTTAAAGTTTTAAAATTATAAATTTACTTGTTACATTTCGGAATACATATTTTTTTAAAATTATTTTAATGGCAGTAAAAAAAATTATAAAATATTTATAATAGATTAGATTAATTAATCACATGTGTGGTTAATTATTTTAGTAATAGAATAAAAATAGTAAATAAAATATGCCATTTAAATTATATTTAAGAATATTTATTTGTGTTCTTTTTTTTATTTCGTGAATTTTCTAAAAAAATTGAAATACGAAATCTATATCAAAAGTGTAATAAATATGGGGAGTGAATGTGATTAGTTAATGGGGTAAATAAGGTCGGTATTAAAAACTCTCATCTAACAATAATAACTTAATTTGGCTTTAAATTATAAATAAAAAGGTAAAACAATTATAAATCATTTAATAAAATAGCTTAAACATATGACCCGGCCGAAGGCCGGGGGAAAGCTGGCCTAAGTACAGCTAAGGGAGATTAGGAAAAAATTCCCCCCCCCTATAGGAAAATCCTTGATACGCCACTGCTTCGATATTAAATCGGTACATACGTACAATTTTAAAAACTTTTATAATCATGCATGATTTTTTGGAACTTGGTTGTCGGGGACAACCAATCAATTAAAGTTAATACAAATTTATACCTATTAATTTAAATATATTTTTATCTTTTCTCTATTTATATAAAAATAAAAGATGCCAATTTCCGAACACTCAAACTCAAAACTAAAACGAGAATACAATTTTAAAATATAATATTTTCTCACAAAATTAACATTATGTATGTTATAATTATTATTGTATGTATTGTGTTTTTACTTGTCATTATAGATTATTATATACACAAAATAAAATATTCAACTATATTTGAAGAAGAAAAAAATTTTAAATTTATATTTTCTAAATTTAAAAAAAAAAAAAAATTTTATTAATTGGTTTGGGATTTGTAAACTAAATTTTTTTATTGGGTTGTTGCTATTAAGTATTGATATGGCACTGCTATATTGAATCAGGGTAACTGAATTCCTGCATAATTATATTATGAATAATGAGATCTAAATATAAATGAAATTTTTGATAAAAATATTAAAAATTTTTCGAATAAAATAAAAATTTGTAAAAGGAACAATTTGTATTTTGTTTATTTTGATAATAACTTTTTATTCTTAAATTCGGCTACAAAACTGATTGAAGCACTAACCTCTACTAACGAAGCATTAAAATGATATAAGTTACATCGTTAGTGCTTTCATAATTTTCTAACCGAAATTTGACCTCTAAAAATTATTTTAGCGTGTTACAATTTTTTCATAACGGTTAACAAAATAAATTACGGAATATAAATATACTAATTAAGCACTAAATAATGGCGAAAACCGGATGTTTAGTACTATTATAGTTTTTGTTTTGGCACGTCACCATTATTTGTTTATTTTTGTTTTTTTCGTGAATAACTTTTTATTCTTAAATTCGGCTACGGAACTGATTGAAGCACTAACCTCTACTAACGAAGCACTAAAGAATGATATTAGTTTCATCGTTAGTGCTTCCAAAAGTTCGGCCAACTTCACGCCTAAATCGTGACGTCATAATTTTTATTTAGCTTATAACTTTTTTTTATAAGGCGGTAAAGTAAATTAATAACGAAATTTAAATACACTAATTAGGCACTAAATAATGGCGAAAACCGGATGTTTAGAACTCCTATACTTTTTGTATGGCACGTCGCCATTATTTGTTTATTTTTGTTTTTTCGTGAATAACTTTTTATTCTTAAATTCGGCTACAAAATGGATTAAAGCACTAACCTCTACTAACGAAGCACTAAAGAATGATATAAGTTTCATCGTTAGTGCTTCCAATCGACTTTTAAGCGTGAAGTTGGCACAAATTTTTATTTTTGCTTATAACTTTTTTTTCTTAAATTCGGCTACTATACGGATTGAAGCACTAACAAGCACTAACGAAGCACTAAAGAATGATATATGTTTCATCGTTAGTGCTTTCATAATTTTCTAGCTAAAATTTGACCTCTAAAAATTTCTTTTGCGTGTTACAATATTTTCATATGACGGTTAACAAAATAAATTACAGAATTTAAAAATACTAATTAAGCACTAAATAATGGCGAAAACCGGATGTTTAGTACTATTATAGTTTTTGTTTTGGCACGTCGCCATTATTTCTTTTTTTTGCAAATAACTTTTGATTTTTAAATTCGTCTACAAAACTGATTGAAGCACTAACCTCTACTAACGAAGCACTAAAGAATGATATATGTTTCATCGTTAGTGCTTTCATAATTTTCTAGCCGAAATTTGACCTCTAAAAATTTCTTTTGCGTGTTACAATTTTTTCATATGACGGTTAACAAAATAAATTACAGAATTTAAAAATACTAATTAAGCACTAAATAATGGCGAAAACCGGATGTTTAGTACTATTACAGTTTTTGTTTTGGCACGTCGCCATTATTTGTTTATTTTTGTTTTTTTCGTGAATAACTTTTTATTCCTAAATTCAGCTACGGAACTGATTGAAGCACTAACCTCTACTAACGAAGCACTAAAGAATGATATAAGTTTCATCGTTAGTGCTTTCAAAAGTTCGGCCAACTTCACGCTTAAATCGTGGCGTCATAAATTTAATTTAGCTAATAACTTTTTTTCCATATGGCGGTTAAGTAAATTAATAACGGAATTTAAATACATTAATTAAGCACTAAATAATGGCGAAAACCGGATGTTAAGTACTACTCTAGTTTTTGTTTTGGCATGTCGCCATTATTTGTTTATTTTTGTTTTTTTCGTGAATAACTTTTTGCTCTTAAATTCGGCTACAAAATGGATTGAAGCACTAACCTCTACTAACGAAGCACTAAAGAATGATATAAGTTTCATCGTTAGTGCTTCCAATCGACTTTTAAGCGTGAAGTTGGGACAAATTTTTATTTTTGCTTATAACTTTTTTTCCTTAAATTCGGCTACTATACGGATTGAAGCACTAACAAGCACTAACGAAGCACTAAAAAATGACATATGATTCATCGTTAGTGCTTCCAATTGTTCGGCCAACTTCACGGATCTAAATATTACATATCAATTTTTCTTTTTATATTTTCCCATAGTTATTGATTTATTTATTCTTAACAACAATTTATTTTCAAAATGTTGATCATATGAACAAGAGTTGATGGAATTTATTAAAAATATTTAAAGAATGATCTTTATTTTCAAAAAATCTTATTAGATTAACTTTCCAAGAATCCTCATTCAGATACTCATAAAATTTTTTTTTGGAATTTAATATGAATTCATATTTTTACATTCTTATGTTTTTTTAGATTTGAGCTGCTAGACATTGAGGTTGAAATATTTGAATTTCCTTTATTTATGTAAAAAATGTTTTATACTCAAGCCAAAACAAAATTAAATCATGTTAATCTGAAGAAATAAGTACTTTTGACATATATTCATTATAAAATAAATGATAATATTAGAAAATATATATTAAGATACCTTGATTGATTTAATATAAGTTAACAATCTTGACTATATAAAATTCAACAAAAATGTATATATAAATAAAGAACTTTTGGTGGTTGATCTGAATTAAAACTCGGCTTAAATTATTTAGAAAATTTAAAAGATTATAATATATAATAAACTATTTATTTTCCATATTTAAGAAAATGTTTATAGTAACGGCGTTATCTTAAAAAGTAACGTAAATATAACGATGTTACTATTTTGGGGGAGTAAAACGAAATCTAACGAAATTACTTTTTGAGTAACGTCGACGTAGCTTTTCGAAAGTTAAAACGATATAAATAAAATTTAAAAAAATAAATCCCGCCTTCCTCACTTAAATTTAAGACAAAAAAAACCTACTCTCTTTTCGTAATGAAATTTTTTTTAGTAGACGTAAAAAGAAAATTATGTGGTTTTCCCCATTTAAAAAGAAACACAAATTTTAAAATAAATGAAATAGATTTCGCCCCTCCCCCCACCCACCCCCCCCCATTTTCCCCCTATTAATAAAATGTAAAATACTTGTCCAATTTGAACAAAGCAAAATATGAAATTAGGACGGATGCGAGCTAGTGATATATTATATAATCGGATTTTTTTAAAATAAATTTCATTCATTCATTTCGCTGGTCTATTTAAAATAAAATTATAAACTATCTCATAAATAAAAGTTTATAAAATATTATTTGTATTTAAAAAAAACAGCCAATCGGATTTTGGCAGACTAAGTCTATTAATTATAACCAAAAATTAACTAAAATTGGGTTGGGGTTTTTTAAATAAATATTTAGTTTTTTTTAAAAAAATGTCTAGATAAAGAAATTTTTTAATAATAATAAAAATAATATAATTTTTTTTTGTGTTGCAAAAAAACGGAATTAAAGTTTTTATTTCGAATTTTTGAATATTTAAATATTAACATTTTTTTAATTTCGATAAAAAATTATAGTATTCATTTTAATTAACTCTAATAAATATAAATGAATATAAAACCGATTAAATTACTACCTGAATTATTACTAAACATTTGTCAACTTATAGGACTTTGTTTTTTGAATAGTCAAAAAAATAACATAAAGATGGATTATACTTTAAAATTAGATTCCAGCTCTACATTAAAATGGGCTTTCGATTCTGAAATTATTTGGTTCGAATTGATTTTGAAAGGTTCTAATATGATGATGAAAAATTATTCTCTCAATTTTAGGGCAAATGATTTAATCGAAGATGGTGATCAAATTTATATCTCAATCGCCAAAGATGGAACTGTCTATTTAGAGGTAAATAATTTTTTTTTATAAATCATTTATTTTTTATGCTATGATATAAACAAAATCTTGGACAAAATTTTCATAGACAAGGACAAGTTTTGAAAAAAATATGTCTTTATTTTTCATCTTTATAATGGATTGTCATGTATTTGGTTTGCCAAATATAATTTTAGGCAAAATATAATACATCATATCAACGCAATTTGAGCGAAGAAGAAGGGATAGTTGATAAAGAAAGTTCGCTTTGATTGTGTTTTCAATAAGGGGGGGGGGGCATCCCTTAGCAAATTTGGCAGTTTTCATAAATATCGTTAACTGATATAACTTATACCCTTGCATTTCTTTCACTCCCCTTTTTTCCTCTAAAAATGAGTACATAACGATGTTTAAGCGACGCGTGATTCGTTGCTAAACGATAACATAGCTATATAACTTAACTTCCAAAGCGAGGTCGACCTTTCAGAGAAGGATTAGTCGTGTTTTAAATTTTTTCGTTTTGAAAAAACCTGTTGGTTGGAAAAGCCCTAATTTAAAAAAAATATTACTAAGCTGTTTTTTATGGTAGCACAAACCTTAAGCGATGCTTAGATTTTTCATGTATTTTGCAAGCTACACGATGTCGCGCCAATTTTGCATCTTAATATTACTTCATACAAAAATAAATTAGCTTTGGACATAAGGTAAAATAAATAGAATCCTGCATTATGATTCGCATTTCCGGTAATTGGCGGTAAATTAAAAAGATTGGTTTCCGATTAAGGTTCGGCTCACTCGGGGTCCCTGCTTTAAAAAAGAGTTTATAATTTTTTTGGTTATTTTATCTTATCAGACATGTAGTCATTTATTTTAAAAGTATTTGCCATATAAATTTAATTAGGACAGAGCCTAAAGCGTGCCTAATTTTTATTTCGCTTATAGCTGGCTTTTATTTATTGACTGGAAAAACTATGCATTACGATTATTTCTATAATTTTCCTACTAGCAGGATGTCAATTTTGACATTATTAATTTTGTCAATAAAATTTTTCTTTAAATTATCAACCACATAAAATATCAGACTTCCAAATTGGCTGACTTTGAGCTTAAGGAGTGATATTATAGTTTATCGGTTACTTTTTTATAACTGCCGAAATTGATTAAAAATAATAAGTAAGGCACTAAATATTAACGCAAACCAGAAAATTATAACTTTTTTATAACTCCGTTCTGGCATGATGCTAATTTTGACCATTTTTTTTTACTAATAATTCTTTTCCTCTTTAAATCATCTGCCATACAAAATAAAACAAAATATACTTATAAAGTATTACTTAATGTTTTGGTATAGGGTGTTTTCAAATGATTGGCTAATTCCACGCTAGCGTGACGTCATAGTTTTCATTTTGTATGTAACTCCGTTTCTTCTCATAATTGACTGCGGAATAAAAAAATATATTCAGATAATTATAATTTTTTTATATATTATCCATTCCATTCATTTTAGCAGTTTTTCTTTCTTTTTTCTCTACTGTCTACCGAACGAATTAAATTAATTTACATTTAAGCACTAAATATTGACAAGTTTGTCAAAATTTTGTTACAAATAATTTTTACCATTATACTGGCTAGGCTACTATACTGGTTAAAGTTAACACACAAAACATTGGCAGATTTTCGAATTAGTGCTTCCAATCAGTGGCGTAGCTAGGAATTTTCCTTAGAAGGGGGTCCATACATATAAAAGCTGGAGGCTTCTCCCCTCCAGACCCCCTCTAACGGGCCTTCGGCCGGGTTTATCTTACAAATCATAACCATATCTTCGATAATATATAATAAATATATTTTTTAAATGCATCAATAATATGTTATTATAATTTATTAGATTATTCACAATGACTTTATAATAATACTATCCAGAATAATTTCAATAGTATTATAATATCCTTCCACAAACATCAAAACCAGAAAAATATAATTCATATAAAATCACTTTTATATCTTTTGAACGTATAATCTAAAAAAAATTTTGCTCGGGGAGGGGTCCAAACTCGAAAACCACCCCCGTAGCTACGTCACTGCTTCCAATTGTTCAATCAACTTTACGGAGATAATATAGAGATCACGGAAAAATAAGTAATAATTTTTTATAGGGGGGAAGGCCAGTCAAAACAGAGTTTGGGGCTCAACCCTCCCCTATGGAAAAATACTGGCTGCGCCACTGCACTGATTCTATGCTATATTGAGTTAGTTGGAACCAAGAAAATCGTTGAAAGTATTGATTCAGATCAGAGCCTATAATAATTATGTCAAATGTTGATGAGAAATTTCCTAAATTATGTATTCATCTCAAGCGAGGGCTTTATAAATATACCTCTACTTACAACAAGCCCATCGTTCACGTATTACTATAGGATGAGTAGAAGAATTTTATAATAGCTCTTTATCCCAATTTGGAATAATTTTTTTTTAAGTGAAAGCATCTTAATCAATCAGTAAGAACATTTTTTTAATATATTCAATATTTCAACCACTACACTCATTTTCTACTTGCACAAATGAAAGAACAACATTTTTTGAAGAATACAAATTAATCTCGTACACTAACTTACAAAATAGATTGAATAGGTTAATCTAAATATTTACATAATAGGGATTCGACAAAAAATACTGATGATTTATAGTTTATAAAAAAATAAATGGAAAAAATGATATAGCAAGATTGTCGAAAATTCATAGGTTAGATATTCTAAACATGGGGGAATACATTTTTGGTAAATTGGATTTTTAATATAAAAAACGCGCTCAAAAAAATGATTTAAAGTTGAAAAAAATATAACATTGACTGAAAAACACATTGACGCTATCATATACATATACATTAGAAATCTGCAAATTCCGGCCAACTTTTTAAAAATGATATATTCCGGACTAGGTAGGGTGATTCCTACATAAAAAGTTTCGGTCATACCAGATGATTTATATATAAAAAATCAGGCAGGCCTCACAAATATCGGATTTTTAATAAAATTTTAACCTGAGTGGTAGTGCTGCAAAATCGTTCCATCTGATTTGATTTTTAAAAACGGCTGATTCAATAATTTATCCAGAAAAATATTACGCAAGCCTGAAGATTTTGCTCATAGATGGCATAAAGTTTTGAACATCTATTAGCGAAATCTCTAGTTTTGGGTAATATTTTTCTGGCTAAAATGTTGAGTTAGCCATTTTTAAAATCAGCACAGATCGAAAATTAAAATTTTGATATATTTTTTTGCATTTTCAAGCTAATATTTTGATTAATACTATTTTGAAAATAAATTACAATTACTTATTTCTTTGTATTTTAAAAAATGTTAAATTACTAAATAATAATATAGTAAATTCATCAAAAATTAAACAAATTATTTATGATAGGATCCAATTACAAACACACAATACAGATATCATGCACGAGGTTGTTGTAGAATGAAATAGATAGCCATAGAAGCGAGATATAACATAATTGACATTGGGAAAACATTTAGATAAATATTAAAAGTGTAATGGCAGGAATAAAAAAAATTTAACATGTAGGGGTGGACTTTTCGAAAAAATTTAATGAGCTGACCAGGCAACTTATGTAAAAATATTTACTAGATTGGACTTTGCAGATCTCTGAAAAATATTTTTATACATTCATTATTTCTAACATTTATATTTTTCTAAAATATAAGGGCCATATTTTATAATGTACATAATTTGAAGTCAGCCATTAAAGGGCATTAGACCAAAAAAATAACTTTTTTTAAAAAATGGCAGCTGTGGCTCAGATAGTTTGAGATCTGGAGTGAAGGGCAACCAGAACCCTGGTTCGATCCCCTGCGTGACTTGTTCATCCTGTAACTAAATGCTTAGATATGGCCAGGAAATAAAATATTGGTCGTTGTTTAGTAATTTGTTGAACAACGACCTAGATCACCAATATCATTTACCGTCCGTTCTGGCTTTAAAAATTAAAACTTTCTTTAAGATGTTCGGTCCATTATATTTTCCAATTTTTAATTTAAAAAAATCGTTCCGAGAAACTGTCTGGAATCTCCGGAACAATATTTTTTTTATTCCCTTGGTTCTCTAAAAATATTGCAATCCAAAAATCGTTCCGGAGCATTTTTCGAGTCCCTGAAAAAGGCGACTTATTCGAGCCACCTTAATCTGAGTTTATAACTGTCCCAATTTCATTCTTTAGTATATCATTCATTTCAAATCATATGAATAAGAATAATCAGCAAAAACGATATTTCATTCTTTAGCAAATATTTCAACTGGACAGGTTTGATTTGCTATCCTTTTATAATAAAATTTTTTTAAGTACTCTCTAACCTAACTAACGTATAATAATTTTTTATAATGGGGGAAGGAAAGTCTATTATCATATCATATTTCCTCCTATCATCGCCCTTTTATCCAAATAAAAAATTTTTATAAAAAAATATTTGTTTTTTTTGAAAATTTTAAGATGCTGCACAATTTTTGATGAATATTTAACACATGGATCTTTTTTTTAAAATACTGTTATTACTTTTTAATGATTACTACAACCATTACCAAATCTTTTAAAGAAAAATATATATTTATGATAAAAAATTGATTAGCCTGTTTAATGCGAAAAAATAATGGTGATTAATACGTTTAAAAAACCTTTATGTTCACATTTTGTATATCTTATTATTAAAAAATTTAAAATTAATTCCATTTTGTAAGTTTTATGGCAGACCACACCGAAAGCAACATTTGAAGTAAATAACAACTTTCATTACCCTCCCCTCCCCTCATCACTTTATCCGCACTTATTAAAGTCATACACAGGTTGAAGTGTTCCTTAAAATCAGGCTTAGCGGAAACTCGTGAAATAATAATTAAATTGAAAGGGTGTACCATATTTAAAGTGTTTACTTGAGTTTAATTGTAACGCGGTAATATCAAAGATCTGCCTGCAGAGTTCAAATTTTCAAACCTAGCCGGGTTTTAATTTTTTTTCTCCATAAAACCTTGACTTTAAAAAAATATTTATTTAAACATCCTTGTGCTTTTAGACGTTGTGTGGCACAAATAATACTCTTACACCTATTTAAAGGTAAATTGGTTTGTATAGAGGATCACTTAATATATAAATTGAAAAATACAATATTGTTATATTTAAAATTGTAATAATTCGTCATATTAAAATTTTAATTAAATTAATAATTTAAATAATTTATCTGAAATAAATTTAATTTACATATATTTATCGAAATTACTTTTATCGTATAACTAGTTGAATCAAAAAGTAACACTTGAAATTAATTACTTTAAAATAGTAATATACTTTTCCTTTCTTAAATGACCCTCTTCTTTTTTAATTTACTCTTGTCCTTCTCTGATTGGGAAACCCTGTATATACATTTTTTTACCTATTGATAACAAAATTACTCATTCTTTCATTGTTATATACCTTAGGATCGGCATATAGTGAATCGGATGACAATAAAAGACCCCAGCCAGGATTACAGGTATTACAGCAAATTATCCCTTGATAAAATATCTATCCATTTCTCTCGCAATATATATACCTGTGATGCTAACGATATCATCTTTACGGTATATTTAAATTATAATAAATTTTCAATATGTAGGGAAATAATAACAAAATATGAACCAATACCAATACTATAATAAAAATAGTAACGGTTGATAATACCACTTTATACCAAAAATTATAATTATTTATTTAAGAAAAAAGGAAACAATTTATTTATAGATTAATTTGTAAAAATTAAGGAAATAGATAAGAAACTTTCTTTCTTATCTGCTTAGAAATTCGTATGTTTTTTTTTATAAATTCGTGGTTTTTTTTAAAATTTATGAAAGTTAATTATCATTTTTTTGGTCTCTGAGTAGAGTAAATATTATGATAAGAGACAAAATACTCTAAATATTAAAATGGAAAAGTCTTGCATAGCCATCTTCAAGTCGTAGCCTGGTTTCACATCATTTTTATTAAGAATAACTATGGGGTCCAGGCGCATAGCCACAAGGGCAGTTTTGCGGTGGTCGACTACCCTTCGGATTATAAATATTTTTTATATTTCTTTATATAAAAAAAAATTGTTCATATTTTTGAATTGAATTTAATAACTAATACTTTTTTTCAAATTTATTTTATTCAAGGCCATATTCCTCATAAAATAGAAATTTCTTTGAATAAAAAAAAATATCTTAAATTACCTTAAAATATAACTTATGATAGTGAGGATACATGGTTTCTTTTTTTTTGAAAAGTAGCTTGGTATATATGTTGTGGCAATGTTTTTTCGGCAATATGTTATTTTTTCAACTTTAAATCATTTTTTGACCGTCTTTTTTTAAATTTAAAAATCTGTTTTTACTGAATTGTAGACAATTTCGCCATTAATCTTTGAGTCATTTATAACTTAAATAAAAAGTCTATGGGAAAAATAAATTAAGCGCATTGATGGAAAAAACACTTCGCCGCTAACATATACAATAATAAATTTATGACGGCCATCGATTTGGGCCGATTTATAAAAACAACTAACTCTATATTTTAGCTAGAAAAATATTGCCTAAACTTTAAGTCGATAGTCCGAACGTTTGTGTCATATATGACCAAAATCTTCAGGTTTCCATAATATTTTTTGGATAAAATATTAAGCTAGCCGTTTTTATAAATCGGCTCAAATCGAGATATTTAACAACACTTGGAAATATATTTAGATTTATCAATTTTATATTGATTTTTTTATGTAAAATAAAAATATTAGATTTTATTTATAGAACTAGACGCCAGAAAACATATGGCTTTTATTTTGAGTAATTATCCGGTAATTTTTTTTAAAAAAATTTCGGGTTCGGGCAGGGCCGGGAAAACTTTTTTTAAAAAAATTTTGAGCTGGGCTTGAAAAATTAGGCCCGATGCAGATGACTACATCTAAGAATCATAAAATTTTTTAAAAATGTATGAAAAGGAAATGGAACCTTATTATAGAAGAAAATTATCTTGTAAAGTGTGTGTGTGACTTTTCCAATATTTAAAAAGTATTGTAATTTAAGTTTTAAAAAATTAAAACAAGTAAATCAGAGACCTGCAGAGGTACCATTTGCAAGGCCCGGGTTTAAAAACTTTAGCTGCCGGATTTTTTATAAAAAAATATTTTAGACCCGACTCTGAATTTTTTAAAATTATATTCGACCTGGTATATACAAAAAATTCACCTATTCGGTATTTTATCATATTTTTCGGCGAGTATTATCATTTAATAAGCAAGCATATAACCTAATGATGTTAAACGGCTCGTTTTGAGCCGATTTTTAAAAACGGCTAACTCAATAGCCGGAAAAATATTGAATAAGCCTCGAAATTTCGATACTATATGTCTAGACCTTAGCTCCTTCTATGAACAAAATTTTCAGGCTTGCATTTTTCTGGATAAAATACTGTGTAGACGTTTTTAAAAATCTGCTCAAAATGAGCCATTTAAACTACATTACATATTTTATTTTATTTTTATTCTAAACAGATATTTAGTATATTACAAATTGATACTATAAAAAATTTGTGTAAATAATATTTTAAGAATATACTATATTAATTGTATTTTTAAAAAAAATAAAACTGATATTATAATTGGAAAAATATTTTCCCCCTTTCAAACTGGCCAAAATTTTTTCTATTCGCGGTAACGGGTAAATAAAAAATATAACGTATATTATATAATAATGTATTTATTACCTCATATCCTTTGCGTATTTATTCCTTGGCAGGAAAACTATAATTATATTATGTAATAGATACTATGAGTGTTAGCTAGTGCTAACTTTCACCCAACATTATATTAATCATTATAATCATATCTAATTGACGAATATAATATTAATAATTCATGTTGTATAAATTTTTTAAAAAAATGTTATGGCCCGGGTAGTTTAAAAAAAAATTTCAGGCCCGGCCCGGGTATATTATAAAAATTTAAAATACGGCCCGGGCTTAGGGCCGAGCCTGCAAGTCTCTGAAGTAAATTAAATATATTATGAAAAATGATTTTGTTAATATAAAAATAAATAAAACCTTTTTATTATTATTATTTATTTATTTTTTGAATATTTTTATTTTTAATCCATAAAAAGGGGGAGTTTAAAAGTAACCCTCATCTGGTGACGGCATCTTTAAATAATTTAAGATTGTAGTGTAAAATTTCGAAGCTGATTTATGCCTGATCAAAAGGACCCACGAGATTCTTATGCGAATTAGTTTGATTAGGGATTTAGGCCCTTTCCCAAATGAGCAGTTTGTTGATACCACAATGGGTATAAATATCAGAGACCTGCAGTGGTACCATTTGCATTAAAATTATTTCAGGCCCGACCCGGATTTATTTAAATATTCCGGGCATTATTTTTACCAGCCCGGTCTGGGTATGTTTTAAAAAATTAAAATACGGGCAGGTCTCTGATAAATATATTGGTGTCAGCTAGATGTGAATATTCTTGGGATTTCTTTCTTTCCGATATACCTAATGGATATAATTATTTTTATGGGGGCGAAAAAACGTGTTTTTTTCTTTTTATTATTTTATACAAGTGGCTATTCATAATAAATTAATATATTTTGTCTAATGTTTGTGTTAAAAAATTTTTATTTTTTCATAAAGGAGTTTAAACGAATACTTTTTAAATATAATAGGTATTAGCGCATTAGAATTTTTAAAAATGAGAGAGATAGCGAGATTTTTTAAAAGTGGCCTTTAATAATTTTTCTTGGGGCTATTTTATTAGCCATTTACTCACCAATTTAAAATATTTATAATATGGTCAGAAATTATGATTATTTAATATTATTTTTAAATAAATAATATAAGGATAGGGTCAACTGGAACGGATTTATAAAAGTTTATTAAACCTATTATTATTTTCTAAAATGAAGGGTCTATTCTATGTAATGGGATATTTTTTTTCAGTATTAAGTTTTTTTATGTTTCAATTTTAGTATCACCAAAAAAAATGGGCCTCGTCAAACAAGTTGGATTGAAAACAAATCAGTGCACGTTGGAACACTTACTTTTTTTTGCTAAATATTTTCTATGTATAAAAAAATTTGATTTAAAATCCTTTACATGGAAATCTACATTATATTTTGGATATATCAACATACACTAGTATTATCTTGGTATAAAAGTTTAATTAAAAACGATTTACAGGAAGATATGCGAATTAAATTAAATTTAAGGATGCTATCATCCTGATCTAATAGATTACAAACTATAAAATTGTAAGTTTGTGTTAAATTATGTAGCCAAAGTTACTATATATGCAATTTGATTGTTTTAATGCTTATTCATAAAGATCAAAAGAATAAATATAATCATTTACCTCCTTCAGGGGCCCCTACAACGGGGGGGGGGTCCGAAGCAACTGCTTCAGTAAATTTGAGTGGGGGTACTTTTTTTTACATCCATCATGATCATGTGATTTCTGGTCTATAAATGTAACAATAAGACCCCCCCCCCCCCGACTTAATATTTAATTTAATATATTGACGGAAATTTTGGTCGATGTTTAGTAAATTTGTTATCCGAAATTTCTTGTCATAAATTATTTTTCCAATTTTAAAATATGCCTAAAAATATTAACCAATATTGACAATTAGTGTTGTTAAACGGCTCGTTTTGAGCCGATTTTTAAAAACGGCTAACTCAATATTTCATCTAGAATAATATTACGCAAGCCTGAAGATTGTGTTTGTAGAAGGAACAAAGGTTTGGACATCTATTATCGAAATTTCGAGACTTAGGCAATATTTTTCTGGCTAAAATATTGAGTTAGCCGTTTTTAAAAATCGGCTCAAAATGAGCCGTTTAACAACACTATTGACAATAGCAAAATTCCTAGAAATTGGATTACTTATACTATTAAAATGTATAAAGTTTTTTGCTTAACATGTCTCTTATTTGGTGGTCCACACGCAAATTCAAAATGGACATGTGAAGGTCTAGATAAATGGCAAAATATTAATCGTGATATTATTCTGCATGAATCTTCACAGGCACATATGATGGCCGATTATGGAAGGCTTTCTCATAATAAAAATTCGATATTAAAATTTATAACACCTCAGAAAGAATGTGTAGATAATAACCGTTCTATTATAAGAATTATAATAAGATGTTTAGATTATTTAATATCCCGTAACCAAGCCTTCTGGGGGAACAGGCAACAAGAAGGCAATATGATGGCCCTTATTAAGCTTATTGCAGATTCTGAACCTATACTAAAAATGCATATACAGCAAAATGAAGAAAGAAAAAAGGATAAAAAAATAAGGGATTAAAAACGAAATTTTATTCAAACCTATTATCATATAATAACATAAACATTCTCATTGAAACCATGAAAAATATGGTTATAAAAAAATTCAAAATGAGATTACATTTAACAGGTGCCTTTCAATCATAGTTGATGGCACATACGATGTTTCGAAATCAGAAGCAATAGCTTTGATAGTAAGATATGTTGAAAATTGTGAGACGCCGAAGCCTGTTGAAAGACTGATTGACATATATTGTAAGGGAAATACCACAGGT